GCCTCGCCGTTTCCCCCCCACAGCCCCGGCGGCGAGGCCCGAGCGTCTTGTAGCAGCCGGGCCTCGCCGATCTTCTTCCCCTTCCCCCCGGCTCCGGTGGTCTCCTCCTCCGCTGCTGATCTCCTCCTCCCTCCCCCAGCTCCTGTGGCGAAGCCTGAGCAGCTTCCTTCCGCCAGCCTGCCACAGTTCCCAGAGCGTTCCCTGTCCTTTTCGGAGGATTTAAATATTGCCCCTCTCCCCTCCCAACGTTTTAGATTTTTGTGCACACCTGGGGACTGCCCCAAGTGTGCAGGAAAATCTCCCTGCCCCCCAGGTGCCCCCGATGTGTGGATTTAGATATCCGCACGCAGGGGGCACCTTCGCTATTAGTATATAAATTGAGAAAGAAGCATTTTTACAGTAACGAACTCCACATATGAGTAAGCTCTGGCAACTTGCACCATTTGGCTGCATCCTGCCAAGAAATATACATATGTGACAAAAAATAAGTTTAGCAGTGCCTTAGAAATAAAGCTACATTAACTGGTGTACTCTTTATATTTTAAGAGTGAAATTGAGAAATCTTTGGATACTACAGTCTGGTGACAGGAGCTGTGAACAGGGAAGGCTCATCTTTTTGCAAACCTGAAAACGGCCCCAGGTTTGCAGAAAAATGTGAAATCTAAACAAAATATATTGGGGGCTTTTAAAAAATCCAAAAATAATAAAAGCTAGTAGCTTTAAGCAAGGGATTCCTCAGTGGCTGTTAGTAAGCAGCAATAGTATTCCCAGCTGGGTTTCAGTGAGTAAAAGGCAGGGCCCTTTCCAGCCTATTTTTGCCTTTGAGGGAGGACTTGTTAGGGACAGGTCTGACTAGGGTTATTATTAGCTTCAGATTGTGGTGCAATTCTAGCTCACCTCCTTGTGCACCCTGGATAACGCTAAAGAGCCAGAACTGCTGGCTGCCAGACAATCATAGGATCTACACATATGGAAACAATCAACCAATCAAACAGTCCTTCTCAGGACTACTTGACAAGGGGTACAGGAACTCCAGATTGCGAAATTCCAGGAGATTTTGGGTGGACTCTGAGAAGGGTACTGTTTGGGGAGGGGAGAGGCCTCAGCAAGATATAATGCCATAGAGTCCATCCTCCAAAGCAGCTATTTTCTCTGGAATACAGATTTGTTGTCTGGAGTTCAGTTGTAATTCTGGGAGATTTCCAGATGGCAGAGATCAGTTCCTCTGAAGAAAATGACTGCTTTGGAGGATGGACTCTGTGGTATTATACACTGCTGAAGTTGCTTCCCTCCCCAAACCTTGCCCTCCCAAGGCTCCACCCCCAGATCTCCAGGAATTTCCCAACCTGGAATTGGCAACTGTAAGGAGAATTGATCTCTGTAATTGGGAGATCTGTTGTGATTCCAGATCTCCAGGTCTCACCTGGAGGTTGGCAACTCTAGTAGACAAAGAAGCTGAAAAGGGGGAGAGGCTATGGGGCCTTCAGGAAAAGGAAAGAGGAAATAATGTGGTGGGGGATGAGATGCCTCCCGCAAGTCCTTGAGGGTTCCCACTTCTTAATATGCAGTTCCAGGACTGGTTGGTGTTTCAATGCTTAGCAGTTCAATTTTACACTGTACTTCCCAGAAACGACAAATTGTCTCCACCCTTGTCTTTTAACGGTCATCAAATATATTACCCAAGCAAAAGCTGAGCTACAGAGATGATTAGGAACTGGGGCACTATTATACTAATCAGCAGTGTAGAACAGATTTAATATTTAATAGGCTTACCCCATTGTAAAAAATAATACTACATCATAAGCAAAGCTGGAAATTAAATATTCTAGTTTCAAGTTTATTTTAATTTTGATTATAGCTAGCCAAAGTAGTTTCAGTGTTATTAACACTGGTAAAAATCTTGCATTGTATGGCAGCATGCATCATATCTGAATGCAGTAAAACATCAATTTAATAAGATTACTAAAATAAAATGCAAAGGCACAGAAACATTGAAGAGATATGCTCTTCTAATAAAGAACTTCCAAACTAGAGTCAGAGGTCTTGTTACATAACATACAAAAGTTCTTTGCAAAACTGCCAATAATCACAAGGCTAGATTACATTGCATATATTAATGGGGTCATAAAATGAAGATCTTTGTTTCTGGAAAGTTGTAATTTCTTAATATAATTTTTTAAAAAGATGGTTTATCAAATGAACAAGGATTCAGAGGGTTCATGGTATCAAGTAGAAAGAAGTGGGGTTTATCACAAAAGTAAATTCCACATTATCCTTTATATGCTGTAAAATCTTGCTGTGATTTTAAATGGCTGTAGTATGGAGAATCTATATATCAGAGTGGCAGTAAAGATGATCTGACTGTGTATGATCATCTTGTATGAAACATAATACTGAGTATGCTAAAATTAGGCATATTATTAGCACAAATTTGTACTGTCATACACTGACAAGAATCAGTGACAACAATGTGATATAGTGGTGCAAAATTCTCCTGTTCTACAAAAAAGACTGACTTAGTAGAAATGTTTCAAATTATATGGTTTCCAGGTGGTGGAGCTGGGACCCTAAATTACTTACACTGACATCACTCTTAATCCTATACATATGAATGTTCAAATTCTGAAAACCCAGGCAATTGTAAATTGTTTGCCAAGGAGGAAAAAAACAAAAACTTTGGAGGACAGAGTTAACCCTTTGGCAGAAATTAAGGCATAGATTTTATCTACTGATTCTGTATTTCAGGATATCTTCAAGTTCCAAGAATTAAATGTCCACTTTTATTTCATATGTTGAAGATATATAAATAGATGTGCAGTTGGGGGGAGGGGACTCTCCTGCTTCTAAGGACTTGCTGTCTTTTTGCAGTCTTCTACATATTTTCCTCTTTCAATATCAAAAGTGGCATAGCTAAAAAGATACAATCACTTATGGATTTGGATTAATGCATGCCAGGGACCAAAGTCCTTTGATATTTCACTGATGCTGATACCATTTCAGTATTATTTTATTCTTTAAACTTGCCAATATGTTCACGAGCTATAATCAGCCTTTGAATCTGAGCGGTTCCTTCATATATCTGGAAAGGAAGAAGTATATGAAAGAAGAAGTAAATGATTAATAAACAGTATGTCTGAAATGCATTTTTGTGCAACTGTGTGAAATGTCAGTGAACAACTTGTATGCTAGAGATGTAAAACTGGGATAAGTACTTTTTTTTCACCAAGATCAGAATTTTATTTGACCAATCTTTGAACAGCAAATCCAAATAGCATATCACAGTATTTTTTAAAAAACCATTTCTATTTTGCAATGGGTTTGCTATGTGGTTGGCTGCTGTTTAAGAAACACATTTCCAACATTCTCTACTGGAACAAAAGCATAATTCTTTAAATTTTAGCCAGCATTTTCATTGGGTTAGAAAAGAACATAGCATGGTCTGTGGATAGACTTCACAGTGAATAGACCTCAGATAAATAACTGGATTGGAATTGCTACCTGTTGTGATGATTTTAAAATATATATGACTAGGAACGAAGCCTGTTGTGGAAGCAAGACAACGGACCCTAGACAGATGTTGGGCCTGTCTAGGCCCCCCTGGTGCCCCGCTCTATTCCCGCTCCCCAGACCCTGTGAGTGGCAGGGCGAGGGGACAGGGTGGCAGCAGTACCCTGGGCGGGCTGTCTCCGAGCAGACAGCCCCCCCATTTTAGCTCCCCGCCAAGAGCCTGTTGTTGAGGGGCAACAGGCCGGGCCGGCAGCGTTTCCCTCCCCTGGCGAGCTGAGCGGCTCATGGTCCGCCCCTCAGGCCCCCGACCCTTTCTCTTCCACTTTGTCCACTCAGGGACCTGACCTGACGGCGTCCCCCCCACTGTCTCCCCCCAGGCCCCTGAGCATCTCCCCTCCCGTCAGCGCCGCCTGCCCTTCCCAGCGTGCTCATCCTGTTTTCCGCATCCCGGGCTGGAGTGTGCTGTGTCCGGGGCAGCCATGATGCTGGCTGCCTCCCTCCCTTGCAGCCGGCCATCAGCTCTCCCCACGGGCCTTCACGTCACAGGCATCCTCCTGCTGCTGGTGTCGCGGCCGGGTGGAGTGGAGGCGGCGAGTGCAGCAGAGGGAGGGGCGAGCAGGCCATGGACGGAGGCTGCTGAGGGAGAAGGCTGCGTCAATGGTGCAGGCCAGTGCAGCTTGGGCTGGTGCAAGAGGGAGTGACCAGGGCGCGGTGAGGCCAGGCGGGCCTGTCCTCCTGCCTCGGTGCCGGAGCAGCCGCCAGAGCATCCATGTGGGCTGCGTCCGTGAAGGAGTCAGGCCAAGATGCTGGACGCCGCCTCCGTGGGCGGGACCACTCCAAGGGAGGCAGGAACGCAGCCAGTTGAGACATATGCCCTGTGAGTGGCACACCAGGGCGCCAACCAATTCCGGAGCGTGTAGAATGTTCTGGAGAGTGCCACCACCAAAAGGGAGATTTTAAAATATTTGAATATATTTAAAATTGATGGAAGTTATTTGCACATTATATAAGAAATATTTTAAAACACTATTTTATAGACTCAATGGACTTCTATATGACTACCACAGCAGTCCTATGCACTCTTTCTTGGAAGTATGTACTACTGCTGAACTCTCTGGGTTTGTCTTTTGAGTTGATATGCACCATGGGTCCGTGGCTGACATGTTAAGGATTCCCATTAGACTCCCAAGTAAAGATGGTAAAGATGGTTAGGGTCAATCTTTTCTTCATGTAAAACTTGTTATTTTGTTGTACTGGTCTGTCTCACATGCACTACTTACCTGATATATTTTGGCATCTCTCATCAGCTTTTCTACTGGATATTCACTATTGAATCCATTTCCTCCAAAGATCTGGACAGCATCAGAAGCAACTTGATTTGCAATATCTCCAGAATATCCCTTTGCTATAGATGCATAATAGGTATTTCTACGGCCAGCATCTACCTCCCATGCAGCCCTTTGGTAAGCCAGGCGAGCAAGCTCCACTTTCATTGCCATTTCAGCCAGCATGAAGGACACTGCTTGGTGCTACAGATGTTGAAGAACAAAGATAAACACTGACAAGTTAACTTCCATGTATGATACAGAATATGAAAGGATAGTAAGCACTTAAGGGTAAAGGTTCCCTTGCTCGAAAGCCAGTCGAATCCGACTCTAGGGTTGCGGTGTTCATCTCCGTTTCAAAGCCGAAGAGCCAGCGCTGTCCGAAGACGTTTCTGTGGTCATGTGGCCGGCATGACTAAACACCAAGGTGCACGGAACGCCGTTACCTTCCCACTCAAGTGGTACCTATTTATCTACATGCAATTTCTTGCTTTCGAACTGCTAGGTTGGCAGGAGCTGGAACTAGAGACGGGAGCTCACTCTGTCATGCGGCACACTCGGGTCTCGAACTGCTGAACTGCCGACCTTCCACAGTCTGCAGTTCAGCGTCTTAACCACTTGAACCACCGCAGCTCCGTAGTAAGCACTTACCATACATCAAAATATATAGTGACATCTTTTGTGTTTTATAGAACAGAAGAGCATGGGATGGGGACAATAGCTAAAGCTCCAACACAAAGCTCAAGATGTGGCCATCTTTGGCATACATTGCAAGACACAAAAATTAAGCTAGCAGTTATTTTTGGGAGGATTTGCATTTTACAGCTTTCTATGTGATTGTTCTCAGTTATATTTGTTTTGAAACTTCTCATTATACTTATAAAAGAGAAATGCAGGTTTAATCTAAAGAACTTGCTTGTTAACTTACTTCATGAGCTTGTGACAACACTGACACCTTAAAATGGCTTGTACTAATTTGAACATATATATATGGAGGGACTATGAGTTACAGTTCAGAGGCAGTTTTGCTAAAGCAGTTCTTTCTAATCCTGACTGGAACATATTGCTACACATGAAGCGTATTAACTGTCTGATATGCTTTTTAAACTCCCCAATGTAAATTATTTGAATACTGTCAAAGAAGAACTTTTTGGCAAATGGGATTACCTCTAATTTAAGTGTTCTAGTATACATTTTATTTTCACATGTTTTTGGACTTCCAACCTGCCAAATCAGAAGTCTGAAGTCTACAAGAACTTTGTGTAAAAGATATCCTTAGCACATAAGCAGGAAGTACATTCTATTAATGCCTGGAGATTCACATACCTCTGCGATTAACTTTCCAAAGGTTTTTCGTTCCATAGCATATTTTGTAGCTTCATCCAAAGCTCTCTGTGCTAGTCCCACAGCACCAGCTGCTACCTATGGATTTAATGATAAGCATAATAAATAAAGAACTCTACAATTACATTTTTAGGAAATCGCACATTTTAGATACTTACCGGAGGCCTGGTTTTATCAAATGCTCCCATGGCAATTTTGAAGCCAGTTCCTTCCCCCATTAGTATATTCTCTTTAGGCACTCTCACATCCTCAAAAACAATCCCTCTTGTATCTGAGCACCGTTGACCCATATTAAGCTCCTGAAAAATGAAAGATGTAGTTCGCTAATAAGACAACAGCTCAATTAGTGTAAATCTAAGAGGGCCAATTTGCATTAATCATGTTGAAAAAAGCCAGTTCTACCCACAGAACACTAATGTGCATAGGACTATAAATACATCATAAAAAACAAAAGATGGCCTTAGAAGGTTTATGTATTTTCATAAGCAATTCTAAACAGAGTTGTTATACCTTGTGACTGTAATTGTGAGGGAATCGATTTCAGTGTCTTTACTTCCAAATATATTTGCTAAGGACAGCACTCTAAAAGAAAGAAGAGTCTCAGGCAGAACTGTTCTGTAAGGGGGCAAGCAGAACCAGTCTTTGAGGGCCTTAATGCTTATTTCTCTAGATCGTAACAGTTTCAGACAGCTATCATGTCAAATTTTGAACCACAATATCTCAGTTTCATAAATGAAAATTTGACATGGTTTCCTTTATGACATATCAGTAAGTGCTAACTCCTGTTACTGGAACTAAGATTCAAAATGTATGCATATCATCTCCACCTTTCTTCCAATTTGTACTCCTGGGCTGTCTGCTTCCACAATAAATCCAGTAAAAGCCTTGTTTGCAGGAGCCTTAGGATCAGGATTGGTACGAGCTAATAAAAAGTACCTTAACACACACAGAGAAACAAGAGCAAGTTAAGTTTATTTTTTCATACCAACAAATGCTTAACAGCAAACTTTTAATTGCTAATTTAACACTTACTGAGCATTTTAAATAAAGCGCCCCAACTTTTTTTTAAAGCAATACCCTGAACAGTGTGTTGAGAACTGGCTTTTACAAGTATAGATCTATTTTAACACGCAATGTAGAAAATAATGCCAGATTAATTACAGATACTATACCAGTTAGCTTTGCCACCATTGGTGATCCACATTTTTTGGCCATTAATTATATATTCATCTCCCTTCTTTTCAGCTTTTGTTTTCAAACCTGCTACATCAGAGCCAGCTCCAGGTTCAGTTACACAGTAGGCCTGGAAGAAAAAATTATATATAATGAAGAATCAAAGTAAGTGTAACGCAAATAATACTACAAACTAACGCACAGTGGATGCCTGAAAATTGGGAGACAAGAGGACTTTTAATACAAAAATGGTTCCTGGGCACAGTGGAAAAGATCTGCTACTCATTTCAGTGAAGGGAGTCAATGTATGTGCCCATTCCTTTCAGTGTGCTGATAGGCGCTCTACATTAAAGTAAGCATGACTACTGGGTTTGTAAAAATATATGTGATGAGACAAAAGGGAATTAAATGAATACTGAGGGGGGGGCTCTAATAATGCCATATTTATTGCTTAATTTATAAATTTATTTACCTATAATATTTTTGTTCTTTCTGTGTTAATAAAAAATCCCAACTTTATATATGTGCTGATGGGGTCTGAACTGATAGAGACTGAGAGTGAAAGACAGTGTGAAGAAAAAAAATATAGAGCTGAAAAAGTGTACAAGAAGTCAACCAAGATGATTAAGGGGTTGGAACCACCTTTCCCATGAGGAAAGGATTAATCATCTTGGGCTTTTCAGTTTTCAAAACAAAAACAAACAAAAATTAAGGGCCAAGATTTTCTCCAATGTCAGCAACATAAAATTATACATATAGTGAAAGCACTCACACACATCATGGGCTCCTCAGTCATTCTCCCCAGATATTTCTTCTGCTGTTGCTCATTTCCTGCAATGATGACTGGCATTTGCTACAAGAAATATTTTATTCATTTAGTGTATAGGAAGTCATTTTCTTAACTAAGCATTACTAAATAAAGAAAATACTTACACCCAGGGAATTTGCTTCGATAGCAGTTTGAACCCCCGTGCACCCATAAGCTAATTCTTCAGTAATAAGGCAGGCATCAAAGATGCCAAGGCCAAGGCCACCTATGATGAAGCATTAATTTAAAAAGTTAAACCTACAGAAATTCACAGTAACAAATGCACTTTCAGTGTAATCCTATAAAGATTGGTTGCAGTGAGACTGGAGTGCACCGTTAATTATTTCTATATCATATTTCAGTGACTGAAATACACCCCACTTGAGTTCAATTTATTCTGTATATTCCATTTAAAAACCACAAACACACTTTGGTTTGTGCATTTCCAGAATAACTCCAGTGACTCAACTACACTGGGGCCTATTACAACATCATAATAATTTGCTTGTGTGGCTGGCCACAAACAGAACTTTATCATCATTCCACATAATCCAATGGAGTCTGTTTACATACTCATCTGCTTGTCTTCAAGCATACAACAGAGAAAATCAAATAACACAAGTACAAGTATGTGTAAACTAGCCCCAACTGTTTGACAGCACTGGTATTTTCATTAGGATGTCAATACATGAGACTTTTATCTTATCAGTCAGCTAGCTATTATTCCTGTTTTTATTTTTAGAAAACATTTTATTATAAAAACCATTGTGTCTTTGTCTCCTATAAAAACATTCTTCTATCTACTCTGTTTTATAGCTTAAAGAACAGTTCACTCACCACAGCTCTCTGGTATATGGGAATTTATTAAGCCAAGCTCCCATGCCCTTTTTATGAGGGGAACAGGATACTAGAGAGAGAGAGAGAGAAGAGAATAAAATATTTTATGTCTGGCTTCACTAAGAAAGCCTCAATAAAACACAAAACGTTAAATAAGATCTTTCCCCAATATATGGCAAGCCTACCTCTCCAGTTCTGTCATAATGAGCAGCAACAGGCAAGATTTCCTCTCTAGCAAATTTACGGGCTGTGGCCTGAAATTCTTTCTGTTCTTCAGTCAGTTCTAGAAAACACGGCATTTTAATGGAAATCCTACAGCATAGCTGCCATCTGATCTTCAAAGAACACAGCCAGAATTTCTATTTCATTCTCAAGCAGAAACAAATCCCAAACATTTTTCTAAAACTGTATCATTGGTACTTCCACTGACCAAGATGCAGGAAAGCAAGAAAGGTTACGGCAAAATACAGAAATGATCAATGATCACTTCATGTTTTACACCTTTGAAGATGATGAGAATTAGACAAGTACAACTTTAACAAGAGTATGTGAATGAGATCTAGTTTTACCTCCCTCAAATCTTTATATATTTCATGTTGCCTTTTCCTAAAAACAAACTTTATAATACTTTTAACAGTTGTGGATAAAAGGAAGCCAGCGGTTATCCCAGGCCCCTTACCAGGCCTGTAGTCAGGATGTTGTAATTCAGGGGGCCTTTAAATAAGTCAGAAGGCACTGACATCACAAAATAAAAAATAAAATTTTAAAAACTCACTTTTGTGGCGTTCACTCTCTGCTTGCGTAAATGTGGAAGGGGCGGTGGTGGGGAGTCCTCCAGGCAGCCCACAGAATTAGGAGTCCTCTGGGAGACCCAGAGAGCGGGGGGGGGGGGGCGGGAGCTGGATGGAAGTCAGGGGGCATTGGCAGGAAGTCAGGGGGCCAGCCCCCAAAATGCCCCACTGTAGCTACGGGCCTGCCCCTTACAGTGTTGCATATGTTTAACAAATCCTTAATCCCATCTAACACAAAACCCCCTCTTTGCCTGTATTAGTTGCAATGAGTTTTTTAAAAAAAGACTTCCAAAAAGACACAGAAATGCTACTAATTTCTTTGGAAAGGTGGTGTATGGCTTAGGAATGCTGAACACTTTCCCACCCATGCCAGTGCTTTCCCCCCAAGCTAAATCCCATTCCCCTCCAACTGTCATTTACTCTGTACGGGAAAAGGTACTTTGTATCATGCCTTGTATATTTTTCCCCCCACAGAGCAAACATGAACTTGGGGAAGGATGGGACAAACTTTGTGTAGTTACAATACTCCCAGCTCATGTGCTACTTACTTCTGCAATAAAATCAAAAGCGCCCCACCTGCTCCCCACCTTGACAGCATTTAGAAGGGAAATCCAGTCATGAATTCATGAATTTACTCACGTAATTTGCTCAAGACAGTAACTCAAAGAACTTTCTTCAGCTATACGGAGAAACTTTTACATGACATAATATCAAACCATATGGAATATTTTCTAGTACTTACCAAAGCTAAATCCAGCTGCAGATTTGCTTTTTGATGCTGCTGCAGTGGCTTGGCTAGACTGTGCTCTCCAACTACTTGTAGCAGTGCTTCGTATCACCTATAATTTTAATTTTTAAAAATAAAAATGAACACGTGGCAGAAGCCTCCAATACATTTCCCAAATTTAATTAGAAAGTGCAACATACACACACATGGATATGAATGTATGCGGCCTTGCTCAATCCACTGCTCTGCAGAAAGTATGTGGATGGACTTTTAATAAATACTTTACTATTTTAAATGCTGGTAGTTCTCCATACCACATAGACCTCCACTGTTAAAACACAGTATTTAAAATGGGTGCTAGGGAGACAGTCATGTGTTAAACTGCTATTTCCCCAGGAGTGTGTAAATGGGGTAAACTGTCCCTATGGTATCTGAATGTAAGATGTAGTTATCACCAAAAGATTTTGTAGGTCCACAGACAAATAGACTGTCAGGATATGATGCACAATTCCAGAATAGGTTGGTAAATAGTTACTGTATTTACTCAAAAGGAAACCTAGGATTTTTCCAGATGTGGAGTCCATGAATAAAGAGGGGGTATCTTACATTCAGATAAAATTATGTACAATAATTAAAACCTTTTGCGTATATCATATTGGTGTGTGTGTGTGCCTTACATTCAGGGCCATCTTCCTTTCTGGAAATTACTAAAGCAAAATAAGTAAATATAACTAAACTAAGCTGCAAACGTAGCATAAGAACAGTATTGTAGAATGAGCTACTAGCTTCTAATTAATAGACTAGCCAACAGAGAAGAACAAAGTCCGCCAAGTAAAAAACAAATTGCAAAAGTAGTGAAGTTTCTGAAGCAGATACAAGATAAGGCTTGCATAAGCCTTGACTACAAACACACTCCTGGAACATACCACATATAATATTAACTAAAAGACTGTGATGCTTTGGTTAACAACATATACTATCAGCCTCAAAGCTAATTAAATAAACTTTTTTTCTTGAAATGCTTAGTAAGTTGTGGTCACAATTACTATAGATAATAGTGTGTGGAACAACCCAGTATGGAGTTTAGTCACTAATGCTAACTCCTGACATTTTACACTTTTGTACCTTGCATTCTTGTTTAGAAAAGCAAACTGATCAGTTATCTTTTGTGCCATACACTGAAGGACAGTAAACTACTGGTTGCTACCACATTCCATTACTGTCACAATGGTTTTAGGCCCATGACTTTTCAGCTACAGCTGTTTTGATGTACCTGTTTTCCTTGTGGTAAACACTTCTGCTTCTCACTCTCATAGCAATTGTTCTATATCAGAGTTCTCTGCTCACAAAAGTGATATTTGTCCTATTTATTCCCGATTATCTTGATACTTACTAACAGAAAAAATTGCTTATAGGAGTGTTCACATTGCTGCATAGGAAACCACATGACTGATTGATACTCAGTTTTTTAAATAGCATATTTTAAAGTGAGAGCAGATTCTCCAAAATAATGCCGTTGAAAATATCAGTTATGCATATATATTTATCGGGTCAGAACCAAACAAATGGCAAAACCTTAACGACAGAAGGAATTTATCAAGTAAATTAAAGTGGTACAACCACAATGTATTCATTATCACCGATATTATTTATTTAAATAGCACTTTTCCTAAGTGTGCACATTCTCTCTCTACAGATTACCCCATTTCTTCCAAAAGCCCATTTCTTCCCTCCCTACCACCAACATTGTTAATGCAAATCGTTCCATGTAGAAGTAGGAAGAATGACTGAAGCAATGGGCCTATGGTACTCCAAATAAGACATTGCAAAGTAACACTGGTTTTGAGGAAAGTGATTAATGATTTATAGAAACATATGCCAGGTATTAATAAACAATAGTAGTATTACTGTTGTGTTGATCCCATTCAGAAGTTAAGATGGTACTATAGGTTGGACTGATTTCTATTGATAATAGGTAAGAAGTCAATCTTGCTTTGTTCACTTTGTCTGAGGAAGTGTGCATGCACATGAAAGCTCACGCCCCGAATAAAACTTTATTAATCTTAAAGGTGCCACTGGACTCAAACTTTAATCTTGCTTTGTGTCATTCTTCTTCTTAAATTACTGTTTCCATGACAAAAGTCATAAATAGTCATAAGCTTACCCATGACAAAAGTCATAAATAGTCATAAGCTTACATTAGCCAAGTAAGATTTTTCTTACAAATGAGAGGGATGAGATGGTTGTAAAGGTCTTTGAACAAGTACTAGGTAAATTATTGGCTAACTGCCAGTAAACAACTGGGGAGCTGGAGGGGAAGAAAAAAAAGAAAGCAAGCAAATAGAAATGGCCATAATTGTCCTTTGTATTCACACTTAATGACGAACATTTATTTAATTTAATGTATTTAAGAAAATGTTGTGCCTCTTCTCCAGAGAACTTACTTGAGGCAGCATACAAAATAAAACCTAAAACGTTAAAAGTTAATTAAAGCCGCCCTGATCTTGTCAGATCTCGGAAGCTAAGCAGGGCTGACCCTCACAAGTACTTGGATGGGATACCTCTAAGGAATACCAAGGCCAGGACGCAGAAGCAGGCAATAGCAAGTCACCTCTCTAAAATGTCCAAGCCCCTCTATGGGTCACCAGAAGTCAACTATGACTTCCAGGCACACACGCACGTGCACACTCACCAAAAAAAGTTAATTAAAGCCTAGAACTAAAAAAAACCCCAGCCAGAACAGAAAACATAGATAACTGAATAATTTAAAATGAGATTAAAAACACACTATAAAATGGTATTAAAAGATTCATTAAAAGAAAAGTCTTGACTTGGCACCTAAAAGAGAGCAATGTAGGCACCAGGCAAGCCCCAAGGGGAAGGGCAATTATGACGGCCCTGTCTTTTCCCTTCTCTCAGAGGCAAGATTTCTCCCTCCGTTTTTCTTTTCCTTTTGTGACTGAACCACCCTAGTTGTCTGTTTTCTTTGTTCCTGAAGAATTCTGGCTGTCCCACCTTGTCACGGTATAATATTTTGTCAGTTTTCTCAGCCCAGGAACCTGATGGAAGGAATGGGAGCTCCCTTTAACTGATATAATTTAAATGGCACTCAAGAAGTTTTTATATTCCAAATTAACAAAAAAAAAATTCTCAACATAGAGGGGAAAGGTCAGGTGAAATGAGAGGCAAAATTTCTGAGATAATCCAACCAGCTTTCCCACTGATGAAAAAAGGGAAGAATGAATCCTCAGTGGTATAGCATTTGCTTGGCCTGCAGAAGGTCCCAGGTTCAATCCTCAGCACCCCAGTTAAAATGATTAAGTAGTAGGTGATGTGAAAGACCACAGCCTGAGATTCTGAGGAGCCGCTTGCCAGTCTGAGTAGTACATGAAAGAGGAAGGACTTTATTCTTCTCTCTCTTAACAGTTTTGCTGACCAAACCTGATTCCTCCGATCTGTTGTTACAAATAAGACAGACTGGCAAAGAGGATTTTTGAGTTAATAACAGCTAGTAGGCTCAACTGGCAACATATGAGAGAGAAGAAGGGTTAAACACCTTCTCCACATCATAGCCCTGACCCCCCCCCCCGCTGTAATTTATCCTAAAATATACTGATGACACCCAGCTGTTTGGCGGCTGGTCTGACTCTGGGCCGGAAGATCTGGACCTGGCATTACAAGCTGTGGCTGATGGCTTAGACTGAGCCGACTAAAATTGAATCCGACAAAGACGGAGGTTCTGTGCCTAAGTCGCAGCAGTCCGGGGTTAGGGATCTCACTCCCTACCTTTGATGAAGCAGCACTGATGCCATCACCGGAGGTGAGGAGTTTGGGAGTGCTCTTGGATGCTTCCTTAATGGTGGAGGCCCAAGTAGCAGCCACTGCCAGGTCGGCCTTTTACCACCTTCGGCTGATTAGGCAGTTGGTTCCCTTCCTCGAATGCAGTGACTTGACAACGGTAACCACGCAATGGTCACCTCAAGACTAGACTACTGTAATGCTCTCTACATGGGGCTGCCCTTGTCCCAAATTCGGAAGCTGCAGCTAGTGCAGAAAGCGGCAGCCAAACTGTTGTTGGGTCGTCCTCTGCAAGAACACATCCAACCTGCATTGAAAGCACTGCATTGGCTGCCTGGAGCATACTGAATTCACTTCAAGGTGCTGGTTCTCACCTACAAAGCCCTTTATGGTCAGGGGCCAGCATACTTGAGGGACTGCCTCTCCCCACATATTCCCCAGAGTACTGCGTTTAGAGACACAAAACCTCCTGACTCTCCCTGGCCCTAAAGAGGCCAGACTGGCCATCATCAGGGCTAGGGCGTTTTCTGTAGCCACTCCACACTGGAGGAATGAGCCCCCCCAGGACATCAGGGCCCTGCGGAGTTTATTACAATTCCACAGGTCCTGCAAGACAGAGCTCTTCCACCAGGCATTCGAGTGAGATGCCACATATAACACCTTAATTTAAAACCAGAGCCTTACCCTGGTATTTTTACCATTGGCTATTACCATTACTGACTGACACGTTATGGATAATACTCAGAAATTTGTTGTTTCACCGTCTGACATGCAATATCTATGTACAGCACTTTAGAATTGTTTGTACCATTTTATTCTGTTTTTAAAATTTTTATGTAAGCAGGCCTAAGCCTGCCTTGGCAGGAAGGGCAGGGCATAAATCTAATAAATAAATATGTGTTTTATATACATTGTTAGAGATGTCGCTTGTTCTCACTTTCAAGCTTTTTTCTGTAAGGGACTAGATTTAGGATTTCACAACTGGTAGAGCAAGAATGGAACACACCCTAGCCAATGTGCAATTGCAATAAAAAAGGCCAATGCTATACTGGGGATTATTAGGGAGGAAACTGAAAACAAATCAGCCAGTATAATACCCCTGTATAAATCCATGGTGCAACCTCATTTGGAATACTGTGTGCAATTCTGGTCACCACATCTCAGAAAGGATATTATAGCATTGGAAAAAGTGCAGGAAAGGGCAACTAGAATGATCAAAGGGTTGGAACACGTCCTATGAAGAAAGGTTAAAGCACTTAGGGACAATGCTCCCTCTAAGCTGTGGAGTTTTGTGAAGAAGAAGAGATTGGATTTATACCCTGCCCTTCACTACCCAAAGGTGTCTCAGAGTGGCTTACAAACTCCTTTCCCTTCCCCTCCCCACAACAGACACCCTGTGAGGTGGATGGGGCTGAGAGAACTCTGACAGAAACTGCTCTTTTTCAAGGACAGCTGTGCCAGAGCGTGTGACTGACCCAAGGTCACATCAGCAGGTGCAAGTGGAGGAGTGGGGAATCAAACCCGGTTCTCCCAGATTAGAGTCCACACACTTAACCACTACACGAAACTGGCAAAAATTCTACTTTGTGAGTTCCTGGCATTAAAGTTGTGAGCAAACGATTTGGCTACTGCATAAATTAGCTGACTTCGGAGCCATCCTTCCTGAGCTAAAACAAAAATGCGTGAGCTAAAAAAACTGTGAGCTAGCTCACACTAACTGAGCTTAGAGGGAACACTGCTTAGGGATTTTTAGCTTGGAGAAACGAGGACTGAGGGGGTGACATGATCGAGGTTTACAAGATTATGCATGGCATAGAGAAGGTGGAGAACGACGTACTTTTCTCCCTTTCTCACAAGAACTTGTGGGCATTCAATGGCATTGCTGAGCAGT